AGACTTAGAGAGCATAATCTAAAAGCTCACTGTCAACGAAAAGTCCCTCTTTTGAGAAACTATTGCAGTTTGCTAAAAACCAACAAGAGTGGCCAATTGAAAAGTGGCGTAATTTTCTGTGGAGAGACGAGTCAAAAATTATTTTATACTCGAAAAAGTAATACTGCAATATGCTTCTGAAAATATGCCACTGATTTGGGTCATGCAACAAGACAAGGACCAAAAATATATCAGCAAAAAAGCAAAAAAGTTGTTTCAGGACAATAATTGTCTTTGATGAAATGGCCTGCACAGTCCCCTGATTAACACCATCGAAAATTTGTGGGTTGATATTAAGAAAAAAGTAACCGAGATTAAACCGACTAACAATAATGATGCTTGGTCCACAGTTGAACAGGCTTGGAACTCCATTTTTTTACAGAAGTATTAGACTTTGGTCAATTCCATGGAAAGACGCCGCAAAGCAGTTATTTCTAACAAGGGTAACGCAATAAAATATAATATTAACACCAGTACGTAAGGAAAGATACTCGTATTACAACCACAGTAAACGATATTAATACAATTGTAATACTTTTGCTTCCAGGTCAAGTAGACCAGTGCTATAATTATGATATATATCTTTGGAAAAAATTGAATTTTTTGTACTAAGTTAAATTTAATTGAAATTCGTTTTTTTTATCGTTATTTATACATATTATTTTACATTTTGAAAAAAATTACAAAACCTTTGTTTGAATAAATAAGATTTTGTTACCTGTGTAAAATCTGGTATGCTAGTGGTTCTATTTTTTTTGACAGCAGCTGTATGCACATTTTTTACTGTCTCGGGATTGTCGAGATATTCAAGGATACTTGAACATATTGCCGAGGGAAAGAAATTATTGTTTTAAAATTAGTTTAAGCAAATTCATATGTGTATACATATGCATATAAATTCGTATTCAATTATTTGGACAGATATCGTAATGGAACTTAGCAAAGAAGTGCTTTTAATGAGTATAAGCTGTTATTTGAAAATCTTTCAAATGAAACTGTACATTTTCAAAACTTCAGATTCCGAATATGAGCAATTTCGTGTTTTGGTTGGTTGATCTTACACCAAAGTAAGCAAGGAAAGGCTAAGAATATTTAATACTCTCGCGATTTGCAAGTCTTAAAAGCCTTTTTATTAAGATATTTCATAATTTTCAAGTCAGAACTGAAGTCCTCATATTCGGTATCGAGGGGTGCTTGAAAAGTTAATGCCCGTTTACACCTAAGCTAGTCTCGACACCAAGCTGCAGTATATTCTACAAAATATACTCATTTAATTTTTCAATTAAGTATTAAATAGCGACCGATATATACGGTATAAAACCAATCGCAAATTTTATTTACATATATTAGCTGAATCTAGTTTATCCACTTTCGGCAATAGGACACACTATTATCAGGAAAAAAATGCCATTTGAATATGATTAAGACATTTCCTAGATTGATCCATGTTTTTGGAACAAAATTAATCATAGTATGGTCTGATTTCGTCAATTTGTGTTACCGGCGAAGTAGGCATGGTAGTCTTCCGGTGTCACTCATTTCAAAACTGTAACATGAAGATATCAAGATATGAAATGTCCCGAATTAGATTGAAATTTTTCGAGTATAGCATTTCAGATAAAACTGGCCATCCTTAAATATTCGTACCGATTCGCATGCACTAAAATTTAATGCTTTGGACATATTTATTTAGTGAGTTAACATACTTATATTACTTTTCAACATATTTTAGGTTTTCAACATAACTTTTGTGGCCTTGTAGTTGCCTAAGGCGCAAGCATTTTAGGGCGGCATTTTGGCTAGCTTTCTTTACATATTTTATTTAAATAAAATATAAAATAATTTAAAAGATCAATTTATTTATTTCATTTTTATATAATGTACAAAAATTATAGTGTCATATTTTCGCATTCTAATACAAATTATAAACATCAACGGGAGTAAAATTATCAATTTTTTTTAAATAGTAGCATCCAGTGGCTCTTGTTGTATGATGTACGCTGATTTGCACACAAAATATCACATACATCACAGAAAACAAAAAAAGCAGTTTAATGATGAATACAAGTATATAGTATGTTCAAACGAATTTATAGAGACTGTTCTAAATTTATTAAAAAAATAAATACGGGTGTTGCTAGCACTTCCTGTGTCGGTAGCTAGTGGAGAGCGAGAGAGAGAGTGAAGTGGTACAAACTCTTAACTTAAATATTTAAATACTTTACTTTTTTTATTGGACTACTAACTTTAATAATTTTTTAATAATAATGTTAAACCTTTGAAATATGAGTGTTTTTTTTAAATCACCTGAATAATTTTCAAAAATTAAATAAAATAGGCTTAGAAGGGTCGCAGCATTCGCCATTTGCCTAGGGCGGTAAATTGTCTGGTCCGGCCCTGGATGTGTATAATATACCTTAACAAAATTAAGTGAGCTTGTTATCTTGTCCAACTTTAGTCTATTTGAGTTATCTTAATAAAAATACATATTTCTGTATGTCTACTTTAGTGAATTCTAAAAGTAAATGAAATGAATCAATAAAAAATATGGGATACTAGTAGATCTGGCGACGCGTTGCTATGGCTATGGTATACAATACATAGGAATGTATATAAAAACTATTCAATACAGTGAAAATATTAATTACGAAGAAAGGCGTAAACGTTATTGTCGGTATAAGAACCAAGGGGTTGTACTTGATGTTTCATTTTGAAAATGATTGAACAATATTTGTACGTTCAATCGAAATTGTGCCGAAAATTAAAATATTTATTAATATACTCTCGCAATATGTTGCAACAAAGAGTACAATAGCTTCGTTCACTTAACGGCTGTTTGTATTACCTAAAACTAATTGATATATTATAGTTATGGAATAATATATATACGGCAACCTGTTTTATTTCGGGCAACCCTGGTGTTGCAATCAGGCAACTCACAACTTTATCGTAAATTTTGACAATTTTGATGTTATACATACTCAGAACATTTTGACATACGAGCGCTATTTGTGTTGTTTACAGTTACTTAAAATATTCATCTGGGCTAAAATTGAATTAAATCGCGCTATTATTTTTTACAACTTTCGACGTAAATTGATGAGCTTAGTTAACGGTAAACCTCCACCAAGAACCAGTTTTTATCGATGGTGAATTCAATCGATGTCGTTGATCACTCCAAGACAAATTTGGTGAAGGTCGAGGCAAATGTTAAAAAAAATACGATACCGGCGCTTCCAAACACGTCTATGGCAGCGTGACAGGTGATGAATCGTGGGTGGTTATGAGTATGAGCCCGAAAGTAAAAAGCAGTGTCTGACTGTACGGCTATTTCAAGATGAGCCGAATCCAACAAAAGTTGTTCGAAAAACTGGACATGTCGCAACCATACCACTAGAATAACGCAGAACAGTAAATTTTGACTGGTACACAACCATTTGTTTGCCAGTTGTCTTTCAAGAAATCAGAAAAACCAACCGCCGAAGACAGATTACTCTTCACCACCCTATAGTCCTGACGTGGCACCAAATGACTTCTTTTTATAGCCGTACGTAAAAAATAAACTAAGAGATCAATGTTTTTCGACACCTAAAGAGTCGGTTGATGCGTTCAGAACGCATGTTTTGGAGATACCTCAATCAGAGTGGCAAAAGTACTTCGACAATTGGTTCAAAGGCATGCAAAAGTGTATATATTTTAATTGAAAATATTTTGAAAAACAATAAAGCGATTTTTGTTGAATAATATTTGTTTTTGTTCTTTAATCCCGAAATATAAAAGGCATACTCGTACATAAATGATCAGGATGACGAGACGAGTTGGATTCCGTGAGTGACTATCTGTCCGTCTTTTTGTATAAGCGATAACTTTAGTAAAAACTGATATATTTTGATGAAACTTGCTGCAAATGTTCGGACCACTGCAACGCTCACAAAACGCCATTAAACGAAAACCTATAAAGGGCCTTAACTAAGGGGATCAAACCGCTGAAGCTAACCAAGCAAACTTGCTGAGAGGAAATCTTTATGTACGTAAAATAATATAATAACCCTGCCCATTCCCCATCTAGCGGTTAAGTTAAAAACTAATAAATGTACAATAATTCAATGAGCGCGGCGCCGCCCACCTTTAGGTAAAATCTTATATCTCAGGAATTACTTTACCAATTTAATCCTAATTTGGTGTGTGAGTTTACCCAAACATTCCTATTATACACTGAGAAAATGGGCGAAATTCGATTACAATAACGCTTATTTACCATACTCAGACACTATATATGTGTAGCCCAGTGCATATGGATAATTTTTTACCGAACGTTAGTAGTATATTTCTAATAACAGCCCATCCTCTTGCCTAAAATGGATGAAATCAGGGCAATACTTCCTCTAGTCCCCATATACTAAATATACGGAACTTCTAACATCCGATTTCACTTCATACCTTATATATTGGTCAATCTGTGAGGTTTCTAAATAAAATTTAAAGGGCATCTATTTATGATAATGATACATCGTAACTCAAAAACTGAATAAAATCAGGTCAAAATATTCCCTAGCCTAGGTCTATTTCGTTTCAAAAGATTTATTTTTAATTTCAAAAAAATTTTCGCTTCAATTTAAAAAAAAAATTATACTATTAAGGACTTATTTATCAAATCTAATATTTGCATCACTCATCCGACATGGTTGCCCGTTCGGAAAATAAAAGACATGTTGAGACTTAATATTTGATAAAATTGCCATTTTTGTGTAGCAGGACCCGGAAATATTCTTCGTTGAGAGAAGGCGCAAATATTATATTTCATGTACACTTTCTGCCACAAGGGCTTCCTTCAAAAATGATGTGTTAAGCTGAATTTGGCTTGTTTGGGTTTGCAGCAACGCAATGGACTCAATTTTTTGCTTTATTTATATATTGTAATACGTACTCAGAAAACAGCTTTTTAACTTTCTTTTTTTCTCAGTCTCGTCGCCTAGTAATATATGGTATAAAGCTCACTGTTGGTTGAGTGGACAAGTTAATAAACAAAATTGTCGCATTTGGAAAGATGACACACAGAGACATTCTTGAAATGTCCCGACCCTAGGCTGTACTTTTTTCCAACCTGAATACACCATTTCTTGTATGGTAAGTCGTTTCCGACCATCTGCATTCTTATTAATCTTACCAATATTTTGACACTGTCTTTCAACTCAATATGTGCTTGTTCGATGTATCGTTTATATCCAAAAAGAATCTCCCTTAGATATTCTGGAAATTAACCATCTGCGACTGCGGTTTTTCTGCCTTACAAATTTCGAGGAAAATTAGCAAACGTTTTATAGTATTGATAATTTCAGATATTGTAAGTTTGAGTACCCTGTGAAAATTTGTTTTTCAGCCAACAAAACATTAACATAAAATGTCGTTTATATGAGTTCACTTTTACAAACGGATAAAATGAATTTAATAAATTGGTATAAAATGAACACCTCCCTATTTTCATGAATAAAGTTTCACTCACATGAGACAGCATCCACCAGATGAACACGAGTACATCTAGCGCTAACACGAACTCCACCTACGTGTTTCGTCCTGATTAAAATTATTACTGCCCGCCACAATGCAGAATCAGTTGCTGTTCGAGGCTGACTGTGTTCGGTTGTGTCTGGAAAATAAACGAACGGAAGAAGACGTGGAACGAGATAATGGAAAGGAGAAGCCGCAGCGATTGACATAATATGTAATTATCCTACCATATCGCGTCAATGAAAGAGGGTTGAGAAAAAATTTAAAGAATTTGAGAGAGTCTGCGCATTTTCAACATTTACTCAATTCAATGTGTCAGCGTGTAAGGAATAGGAGTGGAAGGGGAAAGTGCAATGAGGAAGTGATGAGCAAATGCATGGTGTTTGCATATACATATTTTATATACTACTTGATTTGAATGCTACTACTACGTTATGCGAGTATATATGTACATGTGTGAGTACCATGTGGAGTGTAGTGATAACGACAGAGTTCATACGTCGTTAAATAGTGAAAATAAAAAACAAAAAGGTACATAAAGCGTACAGCGTACAGTGAATAAAATGGACTCGAGTCCCCACTGATATATCACTGCAAGTGTAGTGAAGAATTTAAAAAATGAAGAAATATTACAAGTAAAAAGGCATAAAGTGGAAAAAACGATGCATGAAAACCGACGCTCCAGCATCAGCGCGAAAGGCAACGAATGGAAGTCATAGACACAACTTAAGGTGCCAAATGCTTTTATCGAATGTAATGGTATATACAAGTAGCCGAAGGAAATAAGTGCATAAATTATTTTATAATAAATTATTTTAAAAGTTAGAAATCGAATGTGCGTGTGTTAATTAAAGCAAACTGGAAGTAAAAGATAGTACTTGTGTAAATAAGATATATAAAATAAAAAATATTTAAGTGCATGTATCAGTGTATACAGCAGAGATGGAATATTAGCTTCAAATATGGTTGGTATTTCCCATAGTTTTAAATTGCATATTTTAATAATGATTTGGAGATATTTTAAGATATACGATATTAAACTGATTGCAGCGTTAATATGTATATATACATACATATGTATGTATAAATCTTCTTTGCGTATCAATTTTATTTTAGTTTATTGTTACTTGCAACATGTTGCTACGAAGTATAATTGTTTTGTTCACCTAGCAATTGTTTGTATCACCTAAAACTAATTGAGATAGCTATGGAGCTATATATATATATATATAAATGATCAGGATGACGAGACAAGTTTAAATCCGGTTGACTGTCTGTCCGTCAGTCCGTGCAAGCGATAACTTGAGTAAACATTGAGATATCTTGATGTTCCCATGGAGAGTTGATATTTCAGATGAATGGAATCGGACAATTGCCACGACCACAAAACTCCATTAATCGAAAACCTATAAAGTGCTATACCTAAGTTCCACAATGAGATAAAAGGCTGTTATTTAGTATAACGCCTTGCATTAGGGAGCGGCATGTATGGTTTAAAATTATTTGAAAAAGTGGACATAACCTCTAATAGGTTTAATGTACATATATCCTAAATCATTCAATCTATAATAACCAAATTTGCTCAGGGCAAATCCTTTTGGCAACTCTGCCGACAGTGTGAAAATGGATGAATTCGAATTATAACCCCATCCACTCCCAAGGGGGCGTCAAAGAAGTCGGTGTCAAATTTAGACGATGGACATGGCAACCCCACTTTTATAGGAAAACCCATATCTCGGGACCTACTCGACCGATTTCAACCAAATTCGATAGAAAATATTATCCTAAAAGTGCATTACATTACATAAAAATGGGCGATATCAGACAAAAACCACGTATATTTCCCATATAACACTAATTTAAATTTCATCTCATTCTTTCACTTTTCAGTATACAAATAAAGAACCAATCAATGTTGCGGATAAAACTTTGCACGAATAGTGGCTTTGAGGTGTGTCACCTTATAACCCAAAATTGTCTAAATCGGACAAAAACTGTCCAAGCCCCATGATACCGCATATCAAATTGATCGGTCAATCTGTATGTCAAATATGGGTTGAATCAGACCAATATTTCCTTTAGACTCCATATATTTCCTTCTAACTTTATTCCTCATATATCGGTGATGGTATGTGAGGTACCTTAATAAAACTCAAAGAGCTTCGTTTTTCTGCTAATAATATGTAGTAATACCAAAAATGGATATAAGCGGGTCAATACTACCCCTATACCTAAAACAAGATTTTCAAACTTCCGTATATATCGGTCAATATGTAACTGAACGTATAATATTATTATAATTATAATATACCATAGTTACATGCCGAAAATATGTGAAATTGGTCTACGAATTACCCAAACTCCCATATACTAAATATAATGATTTTTGTTATTCTCACAAACCTTATGCCGAGTATGTATATAGGTCAGTGCATGCGTTATATATTTATAAAATTGTTTTCAAATATTTTTTTAAGTATACATGAGTAATGCCAAAAGTTTGTGTAAACAGCCCGCAACTTTTCTAGTCCCCTAAATCTCCATTATAGTGGTTTTTGACTTTCCACCTGACTTTAAAACGTTTAGGTCGCTCAAAATGTGTGACATTTTAGTGGAACAAAGTGGGCAAGCTTTTCTACAAATTATATTTCCCCAGCTTTGAACCTCGCAAGTTGCAAGACTATGAAATGTTCGGTTACACCCGAACTTAGCCCTTCCTTACTTGTTATTTAATCGTTTGGTTATCATTATTATTATTGAGTAACAAGTTCTAATTACTTAATAAAAATCTTTTCCAGCTTAATTATGATCGGCTTTTATATGCGGCCGTCAATTGGTAGCTCAGTTTATGCTAAGATGGAGACTGTATATACACGTATGTCTATATGAATGTGGCCCAATGTACATATATGTATATTAGGGTAGGGCAAAAAAATATTGTTTTTTTTCTTTCGCTTCGGGAGTTTTGCAATTTAAAATTATGTATTTTCATTGAGTTATGAAATTCAAAAGAAAAAAACAAATTTGCTTTAAAATACTCAAACTTCAACCGTTAATATAGGGTGTCCCAAAGTTAACGCAATATTTAAATTTGCCGCCATTTGTGTAGTAAAGTGTTGACAATTCTAAAAAAAACAATCGACAGCTAACAGTTTAAGCTTAGTAAAAATGAAGCGTTACACGATAGAACAACGTGTCTTTATTATTGACCAATATTTCAAAAATAATGAAAGCTTGGCGGCCGCAGTTCGAAACTTTCATATCATAAAAATCATCCTTTCTAAGGTCGAAAAGAGTTTGTATCCCAAATGTCTTTGTTAGATAATTAAAAACTTTTGCGGGTTAATCCAAAACTGATGAAAAACCATAATTTAGTCGCAAATTAAGATACAAAACTGTAATTTGGTGCAGCGAGTCGCAGTAAAGGAGGCCATTTGCGGTTAAAATTTTTATTTAAAACTGTGCGGGAACCTGTCCGCTAATTAGTTTAATGTACATATCTTACTATCCACTAAAACTATGTTAACTAAATTTGCTTAGGTCAAATATTTTCGCACGTTTTCACACAGTGAACCCGCCGCCAACTTTTAGGAGTAATTGTATATCTCAGGAACTACTTCATCAATTTCCACCAAATTTGATACATACATATGTATGTATGTATATATTATATTAATTATCTAACATAAAATGGTTTTTTTATGATAATAATATGTTGTGATGTCTAAAATGGATAAAATCGGGTCAATATTACCCAATATAAGAATTTCAAACCTCTGCTTGACTTTATACCGTATTTATCAATCAATATTTATGATATTTCATTAATTATAAACTATTCAATACAGCAAAATTGTATTTATGAATAAAAGCGAAAACGTTATTTCCGGTGTAAAAAGTAATCCCGCGGAGCACTTCCGAATTTGAAACTGATTGATACTAATTTTCTTCGATTTGTTATTAAACATAAAATACAATATGTTGATTTTTTTATTTTATATTCAAGTTTGAAACAAATGAGTAATTATGAAAGTGGTTAGTTGATAACATTTAATATATTGAAAGAGGCTATATCATTCTTAATTTTTAACAATAATATATACAGCTCTTAATTATAAAAATTTTCGAATTCAATTTAATTCAGCTCTATTTGTATCGTACATTGTGACATTATCATTGGAGAACGTGGCAAGAGTACCTTTCCTTCTTAAATTTTCCAGTCAAAATAGTTGCAATAACATTTCTTGTAATCTTTTTGATTACCAAACGTATACTATTGCATAATTGAGGTGAATTGAAATTACTTTGAATAATTTTCAACCGAAGATTATGTGATGTCAGTACAGCCGAGTATATCTAGATAATTTACGTTTTCTTTTTTATATTATAGCGCGTATATTGAATATTATTACGAATAAAGGCTAACACGTATGAAAATCCAAGGTACAATCCCTTTGATTTGTCAATGGGGAAAATAATGAATTTTTCATTTGGCATTTTACTGAAAATTTAATTTAATTTTTTTTTTTAAATTTTGAAAACATGGTTATGTTTAGAAATATATATTTTTCATGAATTGTTTTTGATTTTTAATATTTGAGATGTAAACTATCCTATCATTTATGTTGGGTCCACCTGGACACAATGTGCTAAATTTTACTAAAATCGGTTTAGTAGTTTAGGAGATAACACCGGACAAAACTTGCCACGTAATTTTTATATACATCTACATATATATTATAGAAATGTGTCGATTTCTTCCACGATATACCCCAACTTCGATACTCTAAATATCATAATTTTCGTTTTCTTGGAAGATGCAACAAAACTTTAAAGGGTTTATGTTGGTCAAAATGTGTGATATTTTATATATTGTTGTTTAGCAGTACATATGATTGAAATTGGTCTATGGTATACTGTGTTTAAATATCATATCCTTAATATAACGATTTCCGATACTTGTGACTTGACTTTTTTTCTCATATACCCAATATATTAAATTTAGCCGCTTTGGTTGAGTTTATATCACATATATCTCATTTAAGTTATTTGGCAAACTATAGTAATGCAACTACATAAGTGTGTTTACGACCTATAATAAGTATATCAAATTTGATTGTAATCCATGCACGGCTTCGTCAAATAATGAAAGTTCTTACTCAACATTTTTATACTCTTGCAACATGTTACAATGTTATACACTACCAATACAGCACAAATTTTAATTCCATATGATTCTTTCACTTTCCAAATCAAGTAACAATGAATATATTCGGACAAAACTTTGCACAAATAGTGCTTTGAGGTATCCTTACACGATGCAAGAGTGTAAAATGTTCGGTTACACCCGTACTTAACCTTTCCTTACTTGTTTCATATACAGTTTTGCCAACAACTTAAACTACAATATTTCCCCGTGTTGATTCTTGCACATTGTGAGAGTATAAAATGTTCGATTAGAGGCAAACGTCATTGGATCATTGCCACACCAACAAAATGCTGTTTATGTAGAACAATAAGGTAGTCAAAAATTAAGATAAAAAATTTTAATTTGGTAGACGATACGTACTAAAAACCATCTGTGGTTTAAAAATTACTTCTATGACAATCAAACTTGCTGCGAAAAAGTCGTTCTGATAATAACCTCCGATGCAAAGATTATGTTGAAAGCTCCTACGTTACCTGCTACAAATAGGAGAAAGCATTAAATTTAATAGTAACAATGGCACGAAGAGGCTGCAACGGCATCTATATAAAAATTGGATAATGGGGCGACGCTGCCCATTTTAAGTTGAAATCTCATACCTCAGAACCTGCTCGACCAAATTTCGTGCATAGCATTATATTCTTATACTATACAACAGTTTTAAATTAAGCATAATCGTACTACAACCACGTCTACTTCCAATATAGCACAATTTTAAATTCCATCTTATTATTTCACTGTACAATTTCGGAATTAAGCACAAAAGAGGATATCGGAATCACCCAAATGTCGAAATCAGACCTTAACAAATTCTCTGGTATCGAGTATGTGAAACGCAGTGTCTATGGCTCACTTTTTTTATACTCTCGCAACCTGTTGCTACAGAGTATAATAGTTTTGTTCACCTAACGGTTGTTTGTATCACCTAAAACTAATCGATTTAGATATAGGGTTATATATATATAAATGATCAGGATGAAGAGACGAGTTGAAATCCGGGTGACTGTCTGTCCGTCCGTGCAAGCTCTAACTTGAGTAAAAATTGAGATATCTTTATGAAACTTTATGTTTCTTGGTACCGTGAGACGGTTGGTATTGCAGATGGGCGTAATCGGACCACTGCCACGCCCACAAAACGACATTAATCAAAAACAAATAACTTGCCATAACTAAGCTCCGCAATAAGATACAAGACGGTTATTTGGTACACAGGATCACATTAGGGAGGGGCATCTGCAGTTAAAAAAAAATTTTTAAAAGTGGTCATGGTCCCGCCTCTAATAGGTTTAATCCTAAACCGCTAATGCTATAATAACAAAATTCACTGGAAGCAAATGTTTTTAGAACCTCTACCTACAGTGTGAAAATCGTTGAAATCGGGTGGCAACTCCGCCCACTCCCCATATAACGGTACTGTTAAAAACTACTAAAATCGCGATAAATCAAGCACTAAACACGCCAGAGACATTAAATTTTATCTCTGGAATGGTATAAGATGACTTTATAGGAACCGCGTTCAAAATTAGACAGTGGGCGTGGCACAGCCCACATTTAGGTGAAAACCCATATCTTGAGATCTGCTCAACCGATTTCAACCAAATTCGGTGCATAACGTTCTTTTCATGTTTCTATGTCATAGTGCGAAATTGGGCGAAATCGGACTACAACCACGCTTACTTCCCATGTAACACCATTTTCAATTCCATCTGATTCTTTCACTTTCCACTATGCAAATCAGGTAACAATGATTATATCGGGGTAAAACTTTGCGTGAATAATGCAATTAAAGTATGCCACCTTGCGGCCAAAAATTGTCTAAATCGAACCAAAACTGTTCAAACCCCTAAGTACTAAATATGTGAACCCCAGTGCCTATAGTTGACCTTCTACCGAAAATATCAGTCAATCCACAAAGAAATCTCAAACGAGTATACCATTTGACTTTGCGAGAGTATAAAATGTTCGGTTACATCCGAACTTAGCCCTTCCTTACTTGTTTTTAAATCAGTCGATTTAAGAGATATCTTAATGCAATTCAAAGAAGATCTTTTCTTGGTAATAGTAACCTGGTCCACAAATTGCCTTAGCCCTCATGTACTTTTTATTATAATTTACGTTATTCTAGTGTACTTTATGTAGTTTAATAATGAAATGGAATCAGCTCAGACCTACCCCAATATGCCCGATATAGTGATTCCCGACTTTGCAGTTAACCTTGGTCTTAAAACCAATAACTTCCTCCTCATATACACAATTTATAAAATTTCGTCCTACTTGGTTTGGCTTGTATCGCGCCAGCATTGTATCATTCGGTAGTAAAAAATATGAATATCGGGACTCCGGGAGATAGTTGACATAAAGTCGGTTCCAGTATCAAATGCTGTTATTTTGCGTTGTACTTTTGTTACCTCTGCTGAAAATTATGAATTACTTTAGGAAATTTAGCTGCAACCCGTTTTAAAATAAGTTTTTTTTTTTAATTTTTTTTCTTATATGTATATGCAATTGGATATAAATATCTATTTATTTTTACCGTTTTTAGCGTGTGTAACAATTATCTTAAACTCTACGGGGACTTAAAAATAAGCTGTCAGTTTATGTTTGGAATTTGATTGATCTGATAAGCGTACAACATAACAATGGCCGCTTTTTTATTCGAGTTTCGTGAAGTTGTAAACAAAATTGAGTGACTTAAAATACACCAAGTAAAAAATAAATATAATACTACACTCTAGTATTGCACTAGAACTTATTATGCACTCAAAGGAGTTTTAACCGATCTCTTAACGTTTTTTGGAGCAAAATGGAATATTTTCATTTCAAAATCCCAAACATATGTATGTAACCAAACTTACTTGCATATGCATATTGGTTTACAAGTTTATTAATTTTGATCTTCAGAATTTGTTTCCGTTTCTACAAAACTTAAACTTTCAATAACCTCACCTTATTTACTCGTACACCAATATTCATAAATACCATAATAATACAAATATAATATATTGGTTGATGACAAAATCAGCAAGAAATCGGAGCCAATACAAAAATTGGACAATTGGCGTGGTACCGCCCAACTCTAGGTAAATACCCATATCTCGTGATCTACTTAATTGATTTCAACCAAATTTGGCAAGTAACATTATCCTGGCAGGCCTATGGTACAGTGCGAAAAGAGGCGTAATCGCTTACTTCCCATATAACACAAATTTGTATTCCATCTGATGCTTTGAGATTCTTGTATACAAATAAAGCACTGATGAATATATCGAAATTAAACTTTGCAAAAAGAGGTCTCTCAAGATATTTCATTTGAAGTCTAAAAATTGCCAAAATGGGTCCATAACTGTACCGAAGGGGTGGATCCCAGTGTCGATGGTTGACTTTTTAACGAAATTATTGTTCAATGTATGAGATATATAATTGGAATTCGGAGAGAATTCTTTCCGGATAATATTATGTCTGTATGTAAAAAATTTGTTGAATCTGAATTGATAAAATCTGATAAAGACTTGCCCAAGCCCCATGTAACTAATATCAGGATTTTCAAATATCCGGTGTCCGGTATACGAGGTGTGTTCAAAGGAAAAGGTGAATTTTGGATTTTCGAGGGCTGCATATATTTGATTATTGATATTTGGTTTTTGTTATAATCGTATACATATGTTTATCATGTGTTTACATTAGGAGCCAATTTCGATTAGTAGTTTGTTTTTGACAACAGAAAAGGTTAGTCACGTTTTTGTGTGCTCTTCGATTTCTGAATTTTTATTGAAATCGATGAAGGAATATGAATTAGATTTTGCGTTGAAAATGGAATAAAGTGCTCCAAGGCACTTGAAATGTTGACTGTGGCATTCGGTGAGTGCACTTTGTCTCAAAAAAGTGTTTATAAGCTGTACAAGCGCTTTACAGAAGGCTGAGAAGATGTTGATGACGATGAGCATCCTGGAGGTGCGACCACGTCGCAAAGAAAACATCGAAACAGTTAAAAAATTGTTCTTGAAAATAGTCGCATCACTATTAGAGAAAATGCAGAGGATGTTGGCATATCAATCGGCTTATGCCATTAAATTTTCTCGAATGTTTTGAGCATGAAACGTGTAGCAGGGAAGTTTGTTCCGAACTTGTTGAATTTTGAGCAAAAGCAATTGCCCATTAGTATCGCTTAGGAGTTGTTGAATAACCATAATCACGCCTCAACCAATGTATTCACCAGATTTGGCGCCCTGTGATTTTCTCCTATTCCCAAAACTAAGGAAACTAATGAAAGGAAAACGTTTGCCACAATTGATGCGAACAAGTCAGAATCGGAAAAAGATCTGATGGCCATACCAAAAAGCCCATTACAGAAGCGCTTCAAGGATTGGAAGAAGCGTTGGCATAAGTGTAATATAACCGAGGGGGACTACTTTGAAGGGGACAAAATAGATATTGCTGAATAAATAAGTACTTTTCAAAAATAATTTAAAAATCACCTTTTCTTTTGAACACACCTTGTATGTTGTTGATGGTATGTGAGGTACCTGAATGAAACTCAGAGAGCATTTTTTCCGTTAGCAATATGTAGTAATGCCAAAAACAGATAAAACGGGTCAATACTACTCCTATCTCCCATATACTTAATATAAGATTTTCAAACTTCCGGTTAGCTTTATTCCGCATATATCGGTCAATATGTACGATATCGTTAGAAAACTTAAGTGAATGTATAATATTGGTTATACTATAGTCCAACGCCGAAAAAAAGTTAATTTAGTATACGAAATATTCAAATTCCCATATACTACATATGTATGTACATAAAATGATTTTTGTTATTTTGACAAACCTTATGCCGAATATGTCGGTCAGTGTGTGTTATTTATTTAAAAAATTGCTAGAAGATATGTTCTCGAGTATACCTTAAAATGTCAAAGGTTAATGCAAAAGCGTAGACCTTTCTCTGTACCCAATTAAGTGGATAAGTTTTCCTAAAAATCATAGAATTATATTAATGGTTTAGCGCTAAATATGTAAGGATTTGGTGTAATCCTTGGTATAAACCTCATATTCCTAATATAATAAATGAATACTTATACATTGAAAGAATTTGCGCGGAACTAACAGACAAACACTGTTGCCATAAAGCCTTTGCGTGAGAAAGTGATGAACGATCACACGTACAGTCGGTTGGAATAGTCATTTAGACATTAAGAAACTTATAAAAACTTTAAAAAATCTCTGGTAGCCCTATTGGGGCTGACTTTACCCTTTATGTGGCTAGAGGGTAGCTCTCTATACAAAATAAAATAGTACTACGCTTATGTCAGATGTAGTGGAAATATACAAAGGTACATTTTAAAAATTTTTACATAACCGTAATATTGTTTTTTTTGTATGAAAATACGTATGTACATTATAAAAAATTTTATCTACTAATGAATGACACCTTTTACAACAATTTTATATTTTAATTGATAGCATAATTGTAGTAATTCGTAAAATTTTGACTGGTAATCTGTTGTGGGCGTGGCATCGCTCAGATACTAACGACCCGCGAAGTTTATATGTTTAACTTAATTCCAATACAAAGCCCAAGTTTAATATATTAATTTATAACTGAATCAGTTTGTGCTTTCCCATCCATCCTGCATAACTATTAATATGTAAAGTGATATAAAGCACCATTTTACCATTCTTTCTAACTGCTTTTCGGAATATTGCTTATGCCACTTTTATTCTTTTATTGCAGACGTTGTAACTGTTGATGTTGCTACAGTCGTTTGAAACAAATGAGAATTATCGATTTTTATGCGGCTTTTCTGCTGTTGCTGACTGCATAGTTAGTGGGCGTGAGACCATATCATTTAACAACCACCTTCTGTTCTCTAACAGTATACATATCTTTTATTCAACAGTTTACTTGTAGCTTATAGAAGTCATTAGTTCGTCGACTCTATCCCCTATGTACATAAGTATATATTTTTGTACGCTTGTATTACATACTATGTATATATACCGCATAGTACAGCAATGATTGCTTTTGAAAATAAAAGTTGTAAAGGAAATTAAAAATTTCTTTTTGCGTTTCAATGCATGTTCAATTGTTAACTAAACCATATATTACCAAAAATATATAACGCACAAAATGGTTGTTCGGTATTGCCGCAGTTTTCTCCTTCGGGTTGACTACAAATTTTTCATGTGATCATGATTGTACATGACATTATGTTTGAGCGAACGTCTGTAAAGGATAATTAGTAAACGATATATAAACATGTATTAATTTCTGTACTCTACCATAAGCATAATTTTACATTGATATGTTGTTTTTAGCCCAATTGTAACTTGCTAATATGGTACATACAAAATGTAATTATTACTTCAGTATAAGAAATTTTACTGATCATACATTCAAGATATGTGAAATTTCCTCAAACATTGATGATATAACTGCCACAAGTAATTACAGAGCTCTACAAAACATTTTTTTTTGTTTTGAACAAGATATGTTAGCAAATTTTAATGTTTTCAAATGCCCAGTTTACGAATTTCTCTTGTTTTTATGATTAATGCACACATATCTTATATTTTCATCAATTATCGGCTTGTTGGCATTAAAATTTATTTTTTTAGTCATGATTAGGATTCTGTCCACCTTTTTTGCGCAGGTTCCTTTCCGAAAAAATGCGAAAAGTTATTCAGAAGGTTTTAAAGTTTTAATAAAAAATAAACATGAATATACGAGAGATACTAGTCTACAAAATGTCCTGTTTTACACAATGAACATCTCGTTTCAAAAGCATCATCGTTTCAAAAGCAATTCGCATGCTCTAAGGTGCCCTTCAGGCGATCAAGTAATTCCATTAAACGCTTTAAGTGTATTGGTGTCATCGGCTTTTGTCGGCTCTGTTTGATGAAAATCAAAAATTTTTTATACTTTTATTTGACGGCCGTTAATTTGATCGTCTCCAGTGCTGCCAGATCTGCGGATTTATTCGCCGGATTTTTCGAGCCTGCAAAAGTTTTCGCGGATTTTTCCGAATTTTGAACGTTTCATGTCAAAAGATATATTTGCTTTCTAACTTTCGCTTAAAAAGCGTTAGCTCGAATAATATTAAAAATCAATCAATACTTAAGAAGCAGTAAGTATCCTTATATTTTATGTAAATGTATATTATAGCCGAATGGAACGCCTTTGAACACGTCTTACGATGGACAATAATTTGCCTCAAACACGAAATATTGCAAAAGTTGCTGATTGTTTATGAAACGAAAAATTGTGATAATATTGAAGTTAAATTCGACTAAATGATGTTTTCAAACTTTTTATTTTTGAAAACTGCAATCTTACTATATACGCACATACTATACGCTCTAGAACCCTTTTTTAAATTTGGAGCAACACATCATACTTTCGAATATAATTGGTTATATAAGTACATGTAAATATGAATCTTGCTATGCTTTTATGTAATTTCATATCGTATATTATAAATACATATGTAAACAGTACCCTCAGGACATTTTATGTAGTAGAAAATATGTGAAGTCGGATTTTTCCGAATTTTTCAATTCTCTGCTCTACCACTTTGCTCTCGATGTGCGGATTTACAGCGCGACAGATGTAGCAGCACTGATCGTCTCCACTCCGTTTGGCAAGCAAAAGCTCATTTGCATCATGGATGAGTTCAGATTTTTTAGTGACTTTTACGTGTGTTTCTAATCTTTATTTAAAGAGATTAAATATAGTTTTGATTTTAAGAAAAAGCGGGTATTTTGCCGCAGAGTATTGTTTGGCTTAGTCTTTTTTTTTGTAAACTTTGACTTCCTAATAAATTTACAAAAGATATTTGTTTATTGAGTATATAAAAAATAAGTAATGTTAATGTTTAGGTCATTTAAAACTGGTAAGTGTTTTGAAATATTAAAATATTTTGTTAAATTGAGCTTTAACAGTTAATTGAAAATCATTTGCGATTAAAATAAACATGTACATATATTTGGACCCCATTTTAGGATATCTAGTTTGTTAAACTAATATTAATTATGTATATTTTTCTGTTATATGAAAACCGAAAAATTCCCAAGAAATACATTAAAAATCTCAAAACGTATTTCCTTCCTTAGCGGCTCCACTGTCAAATGGTATAAAAAATGTGGACTTTCACAGCGCTCTATCGATTCAAAGAGTTGCGTATCATGTCATCCTTGTTTTGCATAGTGACAGCTGAAAGATGAACAAGTCGCGGACGAAATAAAATTATTCTTATATTTTAGCCAGAAAAGCTAAAATGTAATTAAAATACGAGAAGAACCCACAAATCTTTATCTCTTATGTTATTTAAATTTTTAGATTTGTTTTATTTTGACAACATAAAATATTGTTGAGGTGATGTTAAAATTGAATGAACTTTTAATAATTTAAAATTATTGGGTTTCTGAATCCATTCGCAAAAAGTTTTAATAATCTCTTTCGCATGATAATATCAATTCGCCTAAAATATTTTCATGTGTAAATTCCCAGAAATACGTACAGTCTAACAGTGGAAGTACATGGGAGAGTTAAACATCCACTCTATGGTTATTTTCTCAAAATGAACCCAATGATTTAATATGTGTTCAAGTTTGGAATGATAAACCATTTGGTCAGAGCTTTGGACGTGTAAGGATATTATTTGAATTACATTTATAGAATATTTTCGATGCTTATTATAGAAAAGTTGAAAGGTGAAAAATTTGATTGTCTTCAAATTCGCCAATTTATGACTTTATCAAAGTTATAACTATTCTGGAAAGTAAATGTTAGAAAAGTTTTGTGTTGATAGTCGTTAATTTCGTAGGTAACCATAATTATGAAGAATTTGTGTAAAATACGGTGACAAATTTTCATGCCCTAAAAGCAAATTTTAATTCTCATATTTAGACTATATGCGCAATCATCTGGACATATTTTCGGATAATTTAGGAAATTATAGTGAAGAATAAGGATAGCCTTTCCACCAGGATCTAAAAGTTTTAGAAGAAAGGTATCAAGGTGGATTGGATCGACACATGATGGCAGATTACTGCTCGTCCTTAAAAAAAGATTGTCGATTATATAAGAAAATCTTACAAAATGCGTTTATTAAAATATGTTTTCGACATACATAGGTATGTACGTCTCTCCGTTTGCTTCGATAATTCCTTAAGCAAAGCCGCCCCTATTAATATATCTGTTATTTTGCTCCCTGTTTTCTGATTTTTGTAATGTAATACGAAAATGTAGATTAAAATATAAACCACTGTAGACCAGTGTTATCTAAAAATCTAAACATTGAAAGTATTAGCAATTGAAGTAAGCCGTTGATATTTTTAAGGCACAAACAGTCACCGACGCAAAACCGTAACCCGAATCAGCTGATACGACCTATCTTATGAGAGCGCAATGTAAATGATCAGTTAGCACCGCTTCTACCGTCCGCTTCAACAGACCGTACGATAGGATATCCGCGAAAATTGGAGTTTTCCCATAGAAACAAGTGAGCTGAGAGTGAGAGAGCAATCTCTTGCAACGCAGGGTTGCCAATCTTGATATTTTGTAGTAATTAAAAAATGAACTTGAATATATTTGAAATATTCTTAAAATGACTCAAAATCACAGTGGAATACACTTATTTATAAATAGGTAAACTATTTTAATAGTTGGATTTTAGTTTTGAGCTTTTACATTATTAAAAATTATAACTAAAAAACTAAATATGTGAAAAATCGAGTATACAAATAGAATAATGGCAACATTGGTGTAATGAAAACAAAAGAGAACAACTGATTTCTGCGTTGCAACTACGGGAAAACAGTTTATTAAAAGTAAGAATATTGAGAAATTATAAAGAGAAACGTAACAGAAGAAAAACATGTGTGATATAAAAAGACAGATTAATTTTTGGCGAATTTCCTTTCTATATCCGCAATTGCGAGTAAATGAAAGTAAATTTTTCGAGTATACAAGAATGCAGATAAAAACATTTGACTACATATTAGCAAATGTATATGATATTTGCTACCACTGTACAACAAACTTTCAGAGATCTATATCCGTGGAGGAGAGGCTTTTTCTTACTCTGAGGTAATTAAAAAAAACAAATATTTGTTCATCTAACGGTTGTTTGTATCATTTAAAACTAATCGAGTTAGATATAGGGTTATATATATATAAATGATCAGGATGAAGAGTTAAAATCCGGGTGACTGTCTGTCCGTCCGTCCGTCTGTGCAAGCGGAAACTTGAGTAAAAATTGAGATATATTTATGATACTTGGTAGAGATGTTTCTTGGTACCGTAAGACGGTTGGTATTGCAGATGGACGTAATCGGACTACTGCCACGCCCACAAAACGCCATTCATCAAAACCAAATAAATTGCCATAACTAAGCTCCGCAAAAAGATACAAGGTACACAGGATTACATTAGGGAGGGGCATCTGCAGTTTAAAACCGTGGGCGTGGTACCGCCTCCTAATAGGTTTAATATGCATATCTCCTAAACCGCTAAGGCTATAATAACAAAATTTACTGGAAGCAAATGTTTTTATCCCCTCTACCTACAGTGTAAAAATGGGTGAAATCGGGTGACAAGACCGCCCACTCCCCATATAACGGTACTGTTAAAAAATACTAAAAGCGCGATAAACCAAGCACTAAACACGCGATGGTATAAGATGATTTTATAGGAACCGCGTTCAAAATTAGTGAGTGGGCGTGGCACAGCCCACTTTTAGGTGAAAACCCATATCTCTGCTTAATCGATTTCAACCAAATTCGGTACATACCATTATATTTCTAGGTTACAGTGTGAAAATGGGCGAAATCGGACTACAACCACGCCTATTTCCCATATAACACCATTTTCAATTCCATCTGATTCTTTCACTTTCCACTATGCATATCAAGCAACAATGATTATATCGGGGTAAAACCTTGCGTGAATAATACGTTTAAAGTATGCCACCTTGTGACCAAAAATTGTCTAAACTGAACCAAAGCTGTTCAAGCCCCTAGGTACTGAATATGTGGACCCCAGTGCCTATAGTTGACCTTCTACCGAAAATATCGGTCAATCCACAAAGAAATCTCAAGCGAGTATACCATTTGACTTTGCGAGAGTATAAAATGTTCGGTTACATCTGAACTTAGCCCTTCCTTACTTGTTTAATTCTGTATTTGTTCATTTTCATTTTGAATTGTCCATTCAGATGTCGGCTCCAGACTAATAACACATTTATTTGGAATCGGTTGTTGATAAACACTGAAGACTGGGGAATGAATGGGATGCCAATATATCAGAAAAAATAGATGTCGTCGTGGAAGATGCGTGAATTTGTTAACTTTGAGTTGCTTTCATTTCCTGTAACAATATAATATGCCTTGAAATTTAGCCCATACTCGAAGCTGTCGGAAACGGGAATTTTTTCATAAATGGATGAAGTGAACTCAAAGAAATAAAATTTTCCTCTTCTGATGCTTCGAGCAAATTCTCCATGTTATTTACATCTTGATGAATCATTTTTCTCCTAGGACTAATAGGCAATACACGCATTATCACAAAATCGTGATTACATTGGACATCTACATTTGCAAACATATATGTAGGTATATGTTTAGATTTATGATCAGTTTATTAAAATTAAGAATATTTATAAATCGTAAAAAGAAACGTAGCAGAATGAAAACATGTGTGATATACAGTGAGTATCAGCTTATAAGGAAAAAATAATATTTTTGGAATTAGCTTATCAGCTTATTTGATGCAGTCAACTGCTAACAGCAAAGAATGTTCATAATGAAAAACACATAAATTCATTCAGGGGAACAGAGGTTCTATCCTGGAATTGGATTTATTATTAACTACTTCGACTATAAGAAATGAATTATGAAGGTACTACTTATAGCTATATGTTCTCTTAAAGTGTATGCTGCTGTACAAATCAACTTCCGAAGGACTGAGGTATTTGCATAAAGATGTTTTCATTACCAGAAATACCATTGGGCGAGGTCATCCTCATGATTTTGGAATTTGACTTATTTAACCAATTCGCTATATATAAATCTAAATTACAATTTATTAATCTTAGAGAAATTAAATAAAAAGTGGCTTATGTGCAAATGAATAATCAGCAAAAGCATTTCAACAATATGAACTACAGTTCAGAAAAAATAAGGATAAATTGGAAAAATATCGAATTCAATACCGAAGTAATAATGGAACTCGCTGTCGTATGACGTAAGTTCGCCGGAATTGAACAGAAACCAACTTCAGTTTAATTTCGAAATTAGTTTTAAATTAAGGGAATTCACCAAAAAGTTTATTGCGTT